TTACAATACCAAACCATTTCTGAGATTTGCTCATATTCTTTGTCGGATACATTACTACACTTTAAATGGTACCAATTTAAACAAGCCTCGCATTCGATCCCCTTACTTCTGTATGTTACCCTCCGCTCGCAATCAGGGCATAGGCCATTCCGGTTTTCATTTAGCTGTGTCAACGCAGGTACTTCCTTCATTAATGCATATTCGTGCTCCTTCAGCCATAAATTGGCAAGAATGACAGCAAGGGATGCACCCATTGCCAACCCATCCTTTTGTACGTACCATAAACCATTGCAATTGAAGTGCACCTTATTTACAGCCATGTTCAACAATTTCTTCATAGTTCCGCGTGCCAGTTTAGGAGGACTAGTTTGTTCGTACAGTTTCCTCAGTGCTATATCTATTGCCTCCTTTAGTGGGACATTAGTGTACAAACTTTTGACATCCAGGGAGATAATACTCTCATTATAGTCTAGATCTATGTTCTCTATGATCTCCCGAGCCATTTATGTGTTTGTCTCAATGTTTGCCCCCTCAATGTTGTCAAAAAATTTGGTCAAAGTTTTATTTAGATGTTCATATGAGCTCCCTGGCAGTGACAGTACGGGACGGAGAGGGGTTCCTTTCTTATGTACTTTAGGCAATCCATATAATCGAGCTGGCTGCCCTCCCGTGGACCTAAGCCTACTATACAGTGCCTCATCGATCTCATCTTTCTTTTTCATGGCCAACAGTTCTTTGTTGATGTCTTTCTCAATTTTCATAACAACACTATCAGTTAAACCTGGTTTTTCGCTAAATTGTTCCGATTGCAGCAGCTCAGTTAGTTTAGCCTCATATGTCGTTTTCTTCATTACACAGAAGCCAACACCTTTATCGAATGGGACTGCCAAGAGACCATTGTCCTTCAACTACTTCCTGGCTTTCTCAATCCCTCTATCCGACGGTGTTTGCCGCACACGTTTAGCGTATGATTTTGCAGCAGCTTCAATTTCACATAATTTTTCACCTGGTACCTTTTGCGATTTAAGCTCAGATAAAAAATTATCAATGTCCGCAAGAAAGTGAAGTTCATTGAAACGATCCCTCGCCGGGTGCTTTGGGCCAAAACCTAACACTTCATGAACCCACTTGGGTAGCTCAATGACATCTAGTGCTCTGACCGATTTGTCATTCACTTTCATTAACGGTCTGTCCTGCCGCTCTGCTAGCTTTTTTAACTTCTTTTCATGTCTATCCTTGATGTCATGGATAGCAATTCTAGCCTGGAGCTTTAGATAAAATGCTATTGAGGGCCACCATTGTTCATCTATCCCTCTCCGCACTACCTCTCTTGCCTTAGCTAGATCATCGTCTATCTTCTTCTCTTCTGACCTTGCCTGATTTATCTCTGTTCTTAGGAGTTTTAATTGAAAGCTATGCACCGCTTGGTCCGAAAAAATCCCATTTTCTGGCACCCGAAATCGAATGGCGTTTTGTCGAACTTTGCAGTCATCGCAATAAACCAGGGAGTTCAAACTCAAACTCAAACAGTCAAACATCAAACTCAAACTATTCCTTTCAAACTCAAACTCAAACTGTAGACGTCTATATTCTCAAACATCAAACTCAAACCCTGCCTGTTTTTGTGTAGGATTTTTTCCGTAAGAAAATCGCGCATTATTTTTTAATTCCGTGGATCTTTGACATTCTATTACTATCAGGCATTTCGAATCGGAGTCGAATAATCGGTTAAAAATAAATCTCTTTAACTGATTTACTTCTGTTACTTGTTAATTGCTACTGTTGCTAATTGTTACTGTTAATTGCCAATAAATGGTAGATTTTTGTTGTTTTGGTTTAAATGCAATTTGGTCATTTTCAATAGAATCTACGCAAAAAACGGTGTATGTCATGCCAAGGTTAAAGACATGAAAATTGAGTGTCAACATAAAAAATTCAAACTCAAACATCATTTCACTGTTTGAGTCAAACTCAAACATCAAACTCAAACAGAATTTACTCAAACTCAAACTTTAAAATCCAATGTTTGAATTCCCTGCAATAAACTCGTCGACTGGAACGTTGGTGTACAGGCTTTTAACGTCGAAAGAAATCAGCACCTCATCTCCATCCAATCTTGGCTTCATCGATATTCTCAAGAAACCGAGAAACGGAATTGATGATATTCTCATACACGCTTCCTGGGAGTGAAAAAACAGGTCCCATACAACCAAGCAGTTTGAGCGCTAAACGCTTCGTATCTTCCGCAAAACCTTACAAGAGATTTTGCCATTGCGATGAAGCCGCTGCAACGCTCGCTTAGACTTCATTTTTGTTTTCAGCACTGCCATCAGGCGTCCTCACTTCAGTAAACTGGTGACCGGAAGTGACAGCATATAGTTTCTCATGGTAGTCAGTGCTTCTCAAAATGCAGAAACCAGTGCCTTTGTCGGACGGAACAGCTTTGAGATTGTTCTTTACGACCTTATATGAGGCTACGAGTATATCATTACCTTATACAAAGCTGGCTCTAATCTGTTGGCTCTGAAAATGAATTTTTTTCGATCATAAGTAATACTGAGTACACAGGCAACGTTCGCAACCTGTAATTTGAGGGAGACTCTCTGCTTAATAAAAGTACCTACTTTGGGTTCCTCTGAACTCATGCTCAAGTTCTTGCCAAGCTTAATTCGAAAAATTTCAGTGCCTGGACTTGTGGTACCTGGCTTTCAAAAGCTATTGTTTCAAAAACATTCTTCGCTAAATAAATCTCTCTATTTTTCAGATTATTGATCTTCCTTCGTTTATTCTACTAGTTCATCCTAAGATTTGATTTTTGTTTTTGGACGTTTTTTTTCGAAATTGATCTATACTTGTATATTGCTGCGTACTTGGGGTCTGTCCTAAAAAAGATAGCTCCCATTTTTTTATATTTAGCCTTTGCCATAGTTTTTTTTCCGATTTCAAACAGTCTTTAAGGTCTCGGAGCAATCTTGTAGTCGTCGGTTAGATTTCCATCATCTAACTACCAAACATTCATTTTGGCTTCTTTTTTTTACTAGCGTCTCTATTTTTCAGCAAAAACGGTGGAGCCTCGGATCAACTTGTTCTGCTCCCTCATCCGACCTAATGATGAATTTTCATAAAAAACGTTACTTGGTTTACTGCAGGCTCAATGAGTATATTTGTACAGTTTCGAAAAAACGTGATTCAGCATAGTTCCTTTTCAAGCAAATTGAATACATAAATAAACAATAATTTAAGTGAATTTGAATATTTCGGGTTGTCATCACGCTCTATCAATTTTCTAAAGGAATTTGCAGCAATTTCAACTCCTCTTCAAGTACCACATCCTATTTGAAAACTCTCATAAAGGTTTTGTCAATCTTGGAGATTCTTGCTCTCCGCTAATTTAGACGCGATCCGTCTGAGAGTGTTGCTGATGGACTGGTCAGAAACCTCTTTCTAATTTGCCGGTCACAAATCTAGTTTGCCGGTCGCAAACCTTTATCTGTTTTTATGAGAGCGATAAGTTTTGTTTGAAAAATGAAACTTTTTAGCGGTTCGGTATCTTTAGTTTCACGCATAAGCTTTCGGAGCTTAATAAGTGATTTCAAGAAATGGAGCCCATTATGCTGTTTGATTTACTAATTAGGTTTTCAAAAACTTGTGGAATAATTTTGTCCCCGGGCCGGCTCAGGAGTCATTTGTAAACAACATACCTGCATTGAACAAGTCGAACTTAGTGACAAAAAGGCTATCGAAATTTTCCGGTTTCGTGGCATTTATATCAGCTGGTGGGTGTTTGGATACCCCTTTTCTTGTAGTTAGGAGTAGAAAAAAAGCGATTTTGGTCATCTGAAGCAGCCAGCCTTATTCCTCCCTTTATTGAGCTCGCTGCTGATTGGCTTAATATTCTCTGCTCAAGATCTGTTGTTAGAAATTTAGGCAGTAAAGTTTGAGTTTTCGCTTAGTAGATCTCAGAGTTGTCGTTTTTTTGCCACCCTTTCCTTTGGTTTGCTCAAGAAAAAAAAAACAAAAAAGACGTCGGAAAAACCAGCCAAAAATTAATATTCTCTGCCTTGTAGAAATATTTACTTTATTCAAAAGACTTTCTGTCAATAAAACACGCGAGTCCTTAGGATTTTCTTGAGTAGTCGAACATCAGAAATGGCTGTCTTTAAATAACTATCCAGCACTAAGTCATTATCAATTGAAGTATTTTTGACAGATTTCAAATTATTACACATAAGACATTGAAATCGTTGGATCTTCTTAAACTCGCTGAGAGTTAGGACATTGAAACCGTTGGAACTTCTTAAATTCGCTAAGTGTTATATGTACACAACTGATTTGATACCAATAAGAAAAACAATCAAATCTAATCCAGCTTAAAACTACCGAAGGTTTTCTAGCAGTCTTTGCTTGTACACTCATTGTTGTTTTCCCTCAACTTGACGGTGCGGTGTTAGGTTAAAAAAAGGAATTTGACTAATCACAAGTGGACTTAATTAACCCATAAAAACAGGATTGGAATGTTATTGATGAAAAGTTTATTACAAACTTGATTTAAAGAAAAATATAAAATCTTTAAAACTCGATGATAAGGATCAATCTTATCCGAGCTCAGAAGGTCAGCGTCGCACCATCAAATTCACCAGTCCAGGAACTCCTTCCCTAAAACCAGAGACCAACTTGACAGACCTGTCTAAATTCCCTCAAAAGGGCGCTCGACAAACGTGCACAAACATATCACATCTATTTAATAAAATTATCGCAACAATTAGGCTAAAGGGTTATCCGCAGAAAAAGGCACTTGTAAAAAAAATGTTTGTTGTATTTTTAAAGACTATGATCGAACATTCTGTGCTACTTGCACGGTAACCTGTTGTCCTTGCTTATTTAAAATTAATGATAAATTGTCTGGCGGTCGAGATATAATTGTCTGTCGGTTGATGAATTGGTCCGAAACGGGCTATTTGATCTGACCTGCTATAATGCCTATTCTTCTTTTCAGCGATGTTATGAAAGTATCAGAGTGATGTGAAAATGCTGAGTCAAATAGAGACAGTCCAATTTGAGCCCAATTGTATAAAAACGGGCGTTTTGATGCTTTGGATGCAACATAAAAAGGTAAATATTTTGTCTAAGTTGTCTTTTACTTCAGATTTGCTGATGATGTCTTGTTGACGAAAGCTTCACATTTGACAAAAATGAAACGTTGATTCCTTTCTCTCCTAGTGATGATTTTCTGTTTTAGAAAAGGATTTTTTTTTAAATTTCTCTGCGGAATATAAAGTTTACTCATTGATCTCTTTTCCTTAACTTTGGTTAATGTTAGTAAAGAAGTGTCAATCATAAAATGTTTGTGAAATTTACAGAGCTTTAACTTTTCTTTGAAATTTGAAAATTGTAAAGCTATAATCTATTTTTCTTTTGGTTTCCTTGTTCTTCTACAGTTTTCGAACCTTCTGTTGGCTATGCTTTTGAGTGCAATTGCAGAAGTTAAAATTTTGAATGCGAGTCTATTTTAGCGTCTGAACTGGTCTCACTAAGTAAATGATGGCGAATCTTTAAAACGGCGTGAACAGCCGTTTCACATCCTTTTTTGCCTTTTTGAAACTGAGAAAAAATACTGTTTAAAATGGTGAGAATAGTTTTGAAAATGTTTTACTAATTGCTGGCGCTGAACGTAAATGTTTTTATTCTCAGGCTTGGAGGAAAAAGAGTGTCAAGATATTCAAAAGATCTGATGACGGCTTTGAGCGACTGGACTACAGGTGTCTGAAGAAGAACGATGTCTACAAGAGTCTTTCTTTACATGGTCTCATCAGTGCGAGAATGATTTTCGATAAAGTTTACAAGACTGTTATTCTTCTCACTCTCTCAGATGAAGTTAGTATTCGAGACGGGAGCCTTTTTTGTTCAATTACCGTTTTTCACAAAAAAATTGCAATCCGCGTATAAAAGACTAATTCAATAGTCAAAGCATATTCTTTATTAATTGTTATTAAGATTCTCCGCTCTATTATCTGTTGCAAATGATAGCTCGGCGACATTAATAATTTTTTAGCGTACACTTCAACTTGCAATCAAAGATTCCTCGGACCTTGACGGGGAGTTGGACGAATGGCTTCAATGTATTAAGACCACATGTTGGGGAAATGACAGGGAAATACTCTCTCAGCCTCTCACTGTTGCTACTTCAGAAAATGTCTACGAACAGCCAGAGGCAGTAAGTGATCTTAGTTTTCATTTTGTATAGGAAACGGCTGAATGTTACCGAAACTCGGATAAGAAATTTAATATTTGTGTACATTACGTTTTCATTAGTCGAATATTTTCATTGACTCTACGTTAGAAATTTAGCTGAGAAAAAATGGGTACTTTTTGTTCCTACCATTGAAAATTCAGAGGAACTTTGTATTCGGGTGTAATGTAGTTTTTACGACCATTTGCAAAATGGAGAGGAACTTTGTTTGGGATGGGTTTTATTTAGTTTTTTTCCCCATTTTTTGTCACGCAAAATCAGGTACCACAAATAATAATGTGAATGTGTCGAGTGATATATAATAGTAAAGCACTCTCAGTCGTGATTCGAAAGACATAAAAAATTTTTTCAAAACTTGTCCTATACTAGTGGACTAAATTAAACGCGAATTCAGCTTTTTTTCTCTCTAAAATGCTTCTTTTCAATGACCATTTTGGACAACATTTCCTTCATAATTCAGTAAAACTTTCACATAGACCAAGAGCAAATCATGAAACCATCTCTGAAAATATCAATATTTGATTTCAAAGATTTACCAAAGTAATCCGGGTCTGAAAGTGACAGATTTCTTCATCTGCACTAATTTTTGCATTGGAGTGAACTTTCTCGAATAAGCAGGATAAATAATTGATATGCGACGTGTAAATTTTCCAGCGAGAAAATTGAAATGATCAGTGTTAAAATTTCGCTTAATTCGGCTGTTGCTTACTTTTTCACGCGGATTGAAAAACTTAGTACAGATGAAGAAATCTGGCATTTTTAGACCCGGGTTACACTGGCAAGTCTTTGAAATTAAATATTGATATTTTCTTATGGTAGCTCCGATGATTTGCTTTTGATCTACGTAAAAGTTTAACTGGATTTCGAAGGAATCGTTGTCCAAAATGGACATTGGAAACAGGCAATTAGGGAGTGAAAACTTGCATTTAATTCTGTCCTTTAGTGTATTATCGAGAAAAACAGGTTGAAAGTTTTTAATTTTTTGTCTAATTTCGAGCGAGAAAATCCAGTGAGAAGGCTTGTTTTGTTTTTCAACCAAGAAAAGAAAAAAAAATAATTGTTGAAATGGTAAGAGTGATATATCATATTAAAGCTCTTCCAGCCCCGATTTGAACAATATTTAAAAAAAATTTCAAAAAGGTTTCTTAGTGTCGAGAAAATTGGTTATCAGTGTTTTTGATAAATTTTGAGCGAGTAAAACAAGCGAGCATATTTTTTTTTACTGGAGGATAAGTCATGAAAGTTTAGTTTTTTTCTTGTAATTTTTTTTTTCAGCTCGGCCTTGGAAAAAAATTTCAACAATTAAAAAAAAAAGATATTTTATTGAATGTTTAAATGCTTTTTGTTTGTTTTTCTTTGATAAAGTTGATACTTAATTTGCCTTTTTCTTCGTGATTGTCAAAAATTCCTGAGTTTTAGGCTTTCACGCCCCGCCCAAAAACGACACTAATTTGAAAAAAGTAAAACTTGTTTTATTTTAAGTGTATGGTTGGAACATTCTGTGCTACTTGCACAGCAACCGGCTCTCCTTGTTTTTCTTTTTTTGTTTTCCTCGCAAATTCATATGCCACAATTAGTCATAAAATCTTCGGACTGGGTTGAGTGATCTAATTTTTTACTTTTCGTCTAACTTCTAACCTTTTATTCAAGTCCTGAAAAATTTAATAAAATAGGTTTTCAAAGCTTTTAAGCGCTATCTTGCGAACATCACAAATTTTAAAAAAATTACTGCAAATTTTCATTGTAGTTTTTTAAGAAACCGGTTGTCCTTGCTACTTGATTTTAAACCAACGCTGTTATCAGAATCGATTGACTTTAGGTTGAGTACTGTAGCGGAGGCAGTGGTAACTCCTCAAATCTCTCCAAAGCAGGAAGCGTAGACCTTTATCAAAGCGTGGACGACAGTCAAGAGAACGAAATCTACACACCCTCAAGCGAATACGACCATGACATAGGCTGCATTTTTAAAGTTACAATCAAAGACACCGAATCAGCCAGAGCGTGTAACCTACAAGGCCCATACGCTTTGGAAGTGAAACACGACGGCCTTACCCTCCGAAATTATGAAACAAGAGCAGCTATTTTTGAATGGAAACTGGAATTCATTCGTAGATTTGGAGCTATAAATAAACAGAAAGTGTTCAGGTTTGAAGCGGGACGGCGATGTGTAGGTTACGCGGGATTGTTTGAGTTTTACTCAGACCAATATACAAATATTCCCAAGGTCATCAGAGAATGTGTGAACAGGCATAAAATTGCGACTACAGGGCCCTCAAAAGGAAGCCAGCAATCCGTTCACACGCCGCCCTTGAATCCACCCCCTGAGAAACCTAGTCATGATATCATGAATGGAAATATAAACCCGTCTTCAGTCGACGATAACTTATACTCTAAAGTCGATGACTTAAAGAAACAAACTAATAATAACGAGAGTCCGATTCCAAATAACCGACCTGCTAGTATAGCAAGTACTGGAAAACCAAGTCAACCTTCAAGAGCTCCAACACTGCCTAGTAAAACTGGACAAGAAGAGTTGTATCAAGAACCCAATCTTTACTCGGAAGACGAATATGATGTGAACTCGCTAAGAACCGATAATTCAGATCCCAATGTAACGCCTTCGGGTCATCTTGAAGGTCGGGTCCTGCATCATCGACTGACCTCGAACTCCTCGGACGGTAACGATGTCAAAAATGGAGGAACCAATGAAGATTATTACGAAGAGCTGCATAACGCAACGTCTGGGACTCCAAACACTCTTCGGGGATCCCCGGCGAGTAATGGAAGTATGAATTCTACCCCGAACTCAAGCGAAGATGAAGTTGCAGCTGTTGGCGGACTATACTCGAATATAGATATATCCGCCGACCACAGTTCGGGTACAATAATCCGAACGAAAGCCTCTTCGGACAACCGAACTTCAACTCATTCTGGGGATTCAGATAACTCTCAAACTGAGAATTTTTATGATATTACACCGGCTTGTGAAGAGGAGAAACCTCCGGAGCCTCCGACTAGACGATCGAGTTGCCAACCGGTGAGTTACCAGTACTCGTCGGAAGTTCCGAGAGCGCCCTTTCCGTGCAATATTCCTAGGCCACCCGGTCTTCTGCAAATGTTGAATGTTCCGAGGCACCACAACGTCAAATCAAATCTGCCTCCCCGACATTTTAGCGACCAGTATTCATGACGAAAGTTGTCTTTAAATTGTTACCACGAATGCACATTTATATTCAAATTTGTCTATATTTCTATCACTTTTCGAAATCGTAGCGCGATGATAAAAATACAAAATGTTTATGTAGTTTAGAAATTAACGAATAAAAGTTTGTCGACCTAGATAATCAGTTGTAGAGTTGCCACTGAACTTATTTAAAAGCCCAAGGCTTGTTTCCTCTGAAAATAATTATATAAGTAGTCAAAATTTAACTGGAAGTTCTACAACATTTCTTGGTAAGAAATTGCTGTGCTTTTACGGGGAATTAATATTCGCCATTGATTTAGCTATGTCTGACGCCTTTCATTTCCAACAATTTACCGGGTTACGGTAATAAAAACCAGATGTATTTGTAATTCGCTCTTATGCTGAAAATCGAGTTACTTAATTTGTTCCATAGGTTCCTGAAAACATGCTTTGTATCTGTAACTTAACTTTTGTTACTAAATTAAATTGAAACTTGTGTACTAAATTAATGAACAATATGCCCTAGATTATCAGTGAAAGTTATTCTTTTTATCATCTTTTGTACTTTGAATGGTAATGAGCTTGAATTGAATTGTAACAAATAGCTTGCAGTTTTTGTACTAAATTATATATTGAAATAAATCGCGTGTCACATGAAATGATTTAACTTAAAAAATAGAAATCAAAAGATCGGTAAATAGCTGTAAAATGAAGTTTTGATCAACTCATAATCAAGTGATCAAACTTTTGATCATTTGACTCATAAATGGAAATTTCCATGAAAAGGTTTGATTGGAAAAAATTTTCTCATTCTTTATCCAAACGAAATGTTTTAAGAAACTGATATCTTCTAAAAACTACCTGAATGATTAATTCAGTTAAGTTGATCTTGGAAATTTGCGTCAAATCTGCATAATTTGTAATCTTATATGTTTTTCTTTTTCGCTAACTTCTGTGGCTTGATTGCATGGACATCGGATGCAATATGAGTTGTCGTCGAAGTGCATTGCATCACCTTAGCTGGCCGAAATTCAAATGTATTATGATAATAGGTGCTATTTTTCAATTTTCCGCAATTAACTTTCCCTCCGTGATAATTTTGTTCATGAGATGTAGCGAAACCTTAATGTGCTAATTCAAAAGTATAGCCCGCAGAAGTTGCAGGTTCAGTTTATGTGCAACTAGCACGCAATTTTTCGACCACAGAAATGGTTGCCGTTGATTGAGTTAGCCTTTTTCTTGGGGAGTTGATTCAAAGTACGTTTCTAGAATTTGGTCACGAAGTTGAAAAAAAATCTTTGAAAAAATTTAATGAAACCAGATTGAGGCCAATCTTCTAAACCTTTTCGCATTCATTGCCTGAAAGAAAACGCGGAACTATTCAAGGCTGTTTTTCAAGACCAACGAACTTTTTAGGAAATGTGTTTGGAATTATAAAGACGGCTTGAAAGGCTTTTATCTGACGCTACACGCGTTATTAGAGATTCGTTAAATTTGGAAAAACACGATAGTCAAAAATTCCTTCTCACTAAGTAGAGCGATCGGACATCAAAGGGAGAAGAGGGTTTGATGAATTTATCAGCTTTTCAAGCAATCTAGTTTGCTTTTTGTAGCTCTCTCAGAATCTTAGAGCAGGAATTGATGTAACCTTTTGATTAATAACCGGACCGAAGCCGAATTCAATAACCGAAGTTTCTCGGTTTGACATCTGCGCGAAATTTAACAGATAGATTGTTCGGTACTGTACTGCACATATTGCCACGATTATTAAAAATGCAGTTTCTGCCGTGATCACAAAAATAAACCAGGATAGCCGGTTACTGTGCAAGTAGCACAGAGTGTTCCGACCACAGTCTTAAATATACAAAAAAAAAATTTTACAACTTGGTGTCGTTTTTTTTCTGCAGGTTATAATAAAAAACTGAACGAAAAAAATAAAATTTAGGCATATTTGAGAGTCATAGTAAAATAGAAAATAGGTCTATTGGGAAACAGTTTTTGAAGAAAAATGACTAGAAAAACAAAACAAAATATATATTTTTAAAATTTCACATGAAAATTTTCACAAGCTTCTTATTCCCAAAATTGCGCTGAAAACTTCAGAAACTACCCTTACTCGGACAAAACTAATTTTCAAGGCTGAAATTAAGCTTGAATAAGCTGTTGTAAGCATATACGATCACCTTATTAGCTCAAAATTAGACCAAAAATCAAAAATTTTAAACAGGTTTTCCACAAATTAAAAAACTATTTTGATTCCTAAAATAAAGCTAAGAACTCCAAAAACTATTTTCATCAGAGTAAAACTTGATTTTTAAGGCGTAAATTAAGCATAAATAAGCTAATGTAAGCCTGCTCCCTCGCTCGAAATTAGACAAAAAATCAGAAATTTCAAACCGGTTTTTCTCGACACCGGGAAAAAAATTTTGATGTTCGAATCCTAGCTGAAAGAGTTTTAGTATGTTTTATCACTCAACCCAGTCCGATTATGATTTATTGTAGCTTATTTGTAAGGAAAATAAAAAGACTGTTCGGTTGCTTTGTTCGCTCGAACTGAGACAAAAATTGTTCGCTCGATCTGAAGAAAAAATTAAAACTTAGGAATATTGGAAAGTCATAGTAAAAGGCATAAGTTGCAGATAAATGACCAAGATACAAAAAAAATATATCAAAAAAAAAATTCTAAATTTCAAATTTTTTTTGCAAAAGTTTTTTGAATGTTCGAAGTTTTTAATTTCTTAACGGCGTTAAAAAACTCCAAAAAAACGTAACTTATAGAAACCTAAGTTTTCACGGCCTGAAGTAAGCAAAAGCAAAAATAAGCCACTAAGCCTGCTCGCGCGCATCATTTGCTCGAATTTAGACTAAAAAATCAAACACTTCAAATCGGTTTTTCTCGACCCTATAAGAAGTTTGAGATGTTTTAATGTGGTTCGAATCACGACAAAGGGCTTAAATATGATGTATCACTCAATCCAGCCCGATGAGTATTGGTACCTGGCTTTGCGTGGAAAACAAAAGCAAAAAAACAAGAACACCCGAATACAAAGTTCCTCCCCATTTTCAATGTTCGGAACAATACGCAGCATCTCCTATAGGCAGCATTGCTGACAATTTTTTTAACTCCGAAAAATCTTCAACTTGCCATTTGTTTTTTTAAACCGAATTGAACCGAAAACTCTAATGGAACTGGCAAATGCTTTGAGAGAATGGTTTATACAACTTTGATACAACATGAATGGTTTATACAAAGGTCTGTTTGTTTGACGCGCACTTATGCCCCTGAATTTTGAGTACCGATAGCAGCAACATAATGGAAAATTCTAAAAGTCTATCAGCCGAAAATGGATGCTGAAAAATCGCTTCAAAGGGTAGCAGGTAGTAATTTAGAATGAAAATAGGCGCCCAGAATACGCGAATGTATACTCACGCCTTTGAACAAAAGAAATATGAGCTAAATTATTTTTTTAACAGAAAAAGCGCATGCATCTATGGGTCCATCCAGTCCCACGTGTCTTAAATTTAGTTGATTTTTATCACCTTAAAGTCAATAATACCATTTTTCATGGTTATAATGTTTCAGGTATATGTTGGTTATAATAATAGATCAAAATAGTTCTAGTAAAATTGACTATAAATGGAAGGCGAGAGAAGTCCGTCGAATGTGAGTAGAAAGAGTAAAACGTCCTCTTCCAGGCCGGTTTCATCCAGACCAGATGAGCCAGTGGCTCTCAACTGGACTTGCGAGGAGGTCCAGGACTGGATTGAGAGCATCGGGTATCCACAGTACAGGGTAAGAAAAAGGGTCGCTCTTACTATTTCCCCGCCATGGTAGCTACTAGTAAGTATAACCACTCTTATAAAGAGCTAAACGAATGGTTAAGTATGTGAGCACTTATTATCTAGTAACTAATATCCCCTCTTTTTCAATGGGATTGAGGGGTATAGTTAAAGAGATCAAGAAAAGTTCAGAAAAAAAGAGAGACATAAAACTTAAAGGTACCGGCCACAAAATGCTTGAATAAGAATTAATTAAGATCATTTATCCACGAGGGATAGGACCAACATACGAGCTGTACAGCTCATCACGGCGAACCGCTGTTGTGCCCCTGCTTAAGAACTACATGCAATTTTTTTTTTGGTTATTTTTCTTTTGGTTAAGAAGAAAAGGCAGCTCATATTGTTTTCAGAACACTGACCTTAACATCTTGTTTTCTGTGCAACAGCGACCGATTACTGCTCGTTAATAATTACATAAATCTAGCTTCTAAAGTGTAATTTAGATCTCTTGAAGTGTGCTTACACTTGCGATCAGCTTAGTGTGTTATTACAAACCTTCTTTTTTTTCTAACATAACTCGCAAATAAAAGTATTCATTAAGAGTGTTCTCTAATTTGGAAATTTTAAGGTCGCAGGTTCGAATCTCAAAGGTTGCCGAATTTTTTTTTTTAATAATTCGAGGCTTATTGTTCCGACTTTCGACACGAAAGTAACGGAATCTTTGTGCTCGGGGTGGGTTTTTTTTTCTTCAGACAAATTTCGACTTTTTTACTAGCCTTTTTTGACGGATTTTTTTATATCATTCAAAAGGTATTGTTGTCCTGAGCTTAAATTTGAAACGATATTTCACCTGTGATTATTTTTCGTAAAGTTATGGGGGTTTAAAGATTGCCATTTTTGGCCAATTTGGGACAATTAACGCGCGATATATTTCGCGCTATAAATGCGTAAGCGGAGTTTTAATCCCTCTTAGAAATCGTTCCAAATTGGTTGAAAGATTCTTATTTGCCATTTTTGATTTGTTACAAGGAGCGAAATCTATTCTTTTGTAGTTTTTATGGCGTGTGGGGGGATGATTTTCATTAAAAAATTCAAATTTTAGAAAACAAAAATTTTCATTTGGTTTTGTTACATTTACTTTTTTAATGTTATTACTGCTCCATAAACCTTAAAAGGCAGTCGGAACATTCAGGGCCAATTTTATTTTTGCACTTTATAGAGCTGCTTTTTGTCGTTTTCTTGCAAGTGTTTGCGAAGCGAAGCTTCCCCTCTGTGTTCTAATTCAATTTGTTTTGTTTTCCAATTTATGAAAAATTTGATCTTACGATTTTTTGTTTGGCCGAAAGAGTTCTCTTAATACATAATGTCAACACTTAACTGACAGATTAATAACATTTAATGTGCACAACTTGTCAAAGCGTTTTACCATAAAAGTTGGTTTGTTTGTTTTGACTATTTCCGACAGATACGTGAAATATCTTCAAAATTAGCAAATAAATTAATCTTCAATCAATATATATATAGATGCATAAGGCTTACAACTTACGCTTTAAGATTTACATGTTTTGAGATAACTACAAGTTCAACGTTTGGGTAGTTGAAGTTCAGAAGTTTTCTAGAAATTTTGGCGCTGAAATTGAGAACATTTCATGTAAACGTCATGAAATGGACGTTTAGATTATTATGGAAGGGGAAGGAAAATGATTCTTGAAATAACGTTCATGAATGTAATTTAATCTTGATGAATTTATTTGTGCTACGAATGATGATAGAAAACACTTAAATAGAACAGACCTTAATAGTTCAAACCTATAATCGGTAATTTGATGTGATGGTTGCGTAATGCCACAACTTGCACAAAACGTTAACGTCGATGCGTAACATGTTAGCGGATTTGGGAATGTTGGCTAATTGTTTCAGGAGTGTTTTTCGGACAACTTCATTGACGGGAGGAAGCTGATCTTGATGGACTGTTCCCACTTTCCACAGATTGGAATCACTGACTTCGAACACATGAAAGTACGTTAATTTGGTAGAATTTTTTTAAAGACGATCAGGGCAGCGGATGTTCATAGCGTAGGCATGTTCGGCTCTTTTCGACTACCCAGATTAGGCTGCGAGTGTGTTTTTAAATCCTTGTTTGCTGTGCAATCACGAGACAACTGTTCGAAGCTCGAGGGAAAAAGATAAATGGTAAAAGACGAAATCAATGTTGAATTCCTTGTCTACATAGATTTCATTGAGAGTTTTGGGAGGTTGTTGCCTGCAATTTATAGTTCTAGTTATGAATTGTTTTCAGTACAAAAAGAATCTTTGATATTGTCTGAAAAAAACCGAAAATTTATTGTTTTATTTTTCTTAATTTTTGGCGAATAGTGTTAATCAAAGTCGTAATATCTTGAGAGTTTTTAAATCATGTAAACACAATTAATACGTTTTTCGGACACTAGGTACCAAAATAAAAAACCTGTGCGTTGAGTTGATTTAAGCATCTCAACAGAACAAAGCACGCCTAATTTTCAGACTATAGCAGCCAAAATTAGAGACCTGCTGGGCATTGAGTTGATCCCGTGGGACAGAAGCATCGCAGATCCCCCCAGAGACCAAATGGGACTGTTCTTAGAGCGAAAACGACCGACAGGGGAGTATGCGGACTCACTAGTGTACAGTGACTTCATAATGGGAAAGGGACAGTAGCTTAGAAGAGTATTTACTCAAAGAGAATTGTCGAGGCTCAAAAAACAACATCGAATTATAGACACTCCACATTGAAATTGGCTTCATAATGGGAAAGGCGCACTAGTTTAGTAGATTGTCGAATGTTAACTTTATCGAGAACTCTCGTGCGTCAAAGTTTGCCATCGACTTATAGACTGTCTACCTTGAATTTGTTTTTTGAAACGAATGGGCTCAACAAATGTAAATAACCGAAATGTATGTATGTTTCATATGTAGATAAAGATATATTTTTTGGAACGTTCTCTGTTTTGACCATTGGCGAAGAAGTTTCAGATACTTTTTAAGCCAAAGCCAAACTTAGTCTCTAAGAGATAAGCTTAAATTTTGTGGCGAAGTTACTGAGTTGAAAACGGAAACATATTGAAACACGGAATCGCTGTTTAAATTATCGGGACTAAAGGTGTGAAAATGAAACTGAGCAAAGCGTTATTATTTTTTAAAAAAACTCATTATTCAAACTTGACGGTTATTTAGAGATTCGTGCTACATTCAACAATAAATAAAATATTCAAAAACCTAAACAAAAACGTTGCTACATTTTTTATGGGCTTATTTTCGATCCGCTTATTTATTATTCAGCCAGCAAAAATTGATCAATTTTGGTCATGAAAGGACTGAGAGCCCGAGTCAGTGCCAAAAAACCGAAAATTTGGGACATAACAGAAAAAAAACGCGAAAAATGTTGCCAAAATTTTCGAGATAAACAACAAAATTTTTAGGAAAACATAGTTTTTCAGACGAAACCATCGTTGAGTTATACTCCAGCGCCAAAATTTATGTGAGACGACCCCCAAATAAGCGTTATCCCAAATATATCACTCCAACAGCAAAATTTGATGGAAAAGGTGATGTTTTGGGGCTACATAAAATTTTCTGGGAAAAGAGATATTGTAGTCATCGACGGAAACATTAATTCTGCCGAATATTGCAAATTACTTGGAATCCACTTGATGAAAAACATTTATCTGGACAAAATTTTCCAGCAAGACAATGCCAGTTGCCATAATTCTTGAAATTTTCGACAATTTTTTTTTCTTCAGGAAAATGGTTTTCAAGTTTTGGAAAACTGGCCCGCGCAATCTCCACATTTGAATATTATTGAAATTTTATGGAATTAAATGAAACATAATATTCGTGAAAAACAGCCTACAACAGTTACAGAACTTATTGGGAAAGTTTTTGAAATAATTAAGCCATTTCCAGACGACTACTTTCATCGGTTGTATCGGAGCATTCTTCGTAGAATAAAAGCAGTTCGAAAAAATGTATGTATGTATGTATGTATGTATGTTTTTATGTATGTATGTATGTATGTATGTAAATTTGTTGATTTATGTTTACTTTTATCTGTATTTGTTGATTACTTATTAAAATTTATGTAAATGTTAAAAAAGGTGTTAATATTAATAGAGATCTTAGTTTTCACACCTTTTCTTAGTCCGGATAATTTAAGTCAGCTCTGTATTTCAATATAGAGTTAAAAGATAAAAAGTTGAGCAATTGCATATCACTGAAGTAAAGAATCAATGGTTGCTTGGTTTTCTGCAGTTTTGAGTCGACTGACACAATGAAGCAATCAGCACATATGACTTCGTATATGCACAGTCTTAATGATTGCAAATAAAAAAGTTCCATTTTCATTGACTCGTGTTTTCTAATTGTTAAGGTTTTCATCGTGCCAAAAACGACTCCACTTTAAGATTTTTAGATTCAAGGATTTGTATGTGTCAAAACTTGAAGTTTTCAGTTGTGGTGTTTTCTTTCAGGAAAAGCGCTGAAATTTTTATCACGGGTGGCCAGTCAATAAGCAGAATGGTCTAAGAGCAGAAAAGGTCCAAGAGCAGAAAAACTGAAAAATATCAATTTTTTGTGCTAATCGGTAAATTAATTATCAGAAATGTCAATAATACCAGAGAAACAAACATTTTATGCATAATTTGAGTAATTTAATCAAGATTTGGGTCTTATACACTAAACGGTCCGAAATCAGTATTTTGTCACCTTTATTGAACTGATTGGCAATTTATGGAGGCTGAGCAATAAGCAGAATGGTTTAAGAGCAGAATGGGTCCAAGAGCAGAAAAACAGAGAAATTTGACTCAAGTTGGTTTATACGAGCTATTTGATAAAAATAAAACAATTATTAGTATTGTCAAAAAAATACCAAGAAAATGAATGAATTATGCATGAATTGAGTAATTTCAATTTTTTTCTTAAAATTTTGTTTAAAGTCTTGGCGTCTTATGCACAAAACGGCCCAAAATCAATACTTTTACATCTTGAGCTTAAATTTATGCAGTCGAATCCGATTGGCTAATGTTAGCCAAACAAATTCAAACAACATGGTCAGGCAATTCAATCAAACAACACAAGAAAAATTCAAAAAAATGGCTTTAGTAGATCACAAATTTAATAGCTTAGCGCATGTCGGCCAGCATTTTTATCTGCTTGAAATTTCATTTGAAATGCAGGACCATGTTATTCGATTTTGAGTGCATAAATTGCCAATTAGTTCAAGAAAGGTGATAAAATACTGATTTTGGGCCGTTTTGTGCATAAGACCGCAAGATTTCAAATAAAACTTTAATTATAAAAACTGAAATTACTCAATTTAAACATAATTTATTCATTTCCTCGATATTTTTTTGACGATTCCAATTATTGCTTTATTTTTATCAATTAGCCCGTATAAACCAACTTAAGTCAATATTTCTCTGTTTTTCTGCTCTTAGACCCATTCTGCTCGTAGACCATTCTGCTTATTGCTCCGCCTCCTTGATCACGCTATGTTTCATTTGGCTTGACTTGATTGCTAAAATTGAATTCAAGTTTATATGCTAAATTTCTATGTCTTTATTTCTAAATCCAAACTTTGAGATATCCTAGCAGAATAGAAATCAGATCTTCTTATTTCAGCACATTTTTTTCTGATTGATTTAGTTTCATAAAAAACCGCATAAAATTATTTGTGAAATTCGAAGAGCACCAACCTAGTGTTTTTTTAATCTGCAAAACTCGAACGTGAAATTTTTTTTTGAATGAATACATGTTTGGTTTCTTGGGTTCATTCACACTTCCAACTTTCTGTTGACTGTTTTTAAAAGTTTAAAAAACTGTTAGCCTGCAAACATAGTTCACTTTGAATATACGAGAGAAAAATACCTTCGATAACTGAAATTTAATTGGAGCCAAAAAGCTTGATTTTTTTCTCAAAAAATTTAATTTGAACTTGAGGATTTCCTAGCAGAAGAAAAAATATTGATATATTTTTCAAAAATGGTTAAAGAAGACAAACAGAGATTCTTTAATTTAAAAAGCTGTACATAGATTGAACTTTTAAAACTCGAAAGCTGCAACGTTTCAAGTTAGGCAAACAATATCTCGGCCTCCTTAATTTCATTAAAACTTCTCGATTTGTCAGATGGCTATGCTCTTTTGTATCAATGTTTTTGCGATCCATTTTGTTAGTCTATGCTTTTAACTCATCGCTAAATCCTTTGGTTTTTTTCAAAACATTTTTGGACTCATTTTCACACCTCTAGTACGTTCACACCTCTACTACAAATGGACCGGCGCCAAAGGCGTCCTTTGAAAAATGTTTTGAAAAAACCAAAGGGGCGACCCTTTGGGTTGTGTCGGTGTCAAATGCCTGAGGTGCGGGAGGGGGCGGAGGCCCTCCCTCAAATCCGCTACTGGTTGTCCTAATTTTGCACATGAAAAAATATCGTCCACCTTTTTTTAAATTAGCTTGTGTTAATAAGGTCAAATTTAGCCGATGTTTTCTCTTACCATTGAAACAAAATCATTGTTTTTTTTCTACTAAATTACGCTTCATCAGTAGCTAGTTTAGTGTTTCAGTTTCTCTGACTCAGCAGCAGAATTGTGTGAGGCATTTGAGATGAACACTCGAGGTCTGAAGTTTGATTCCCGCAGAAAGCATTTTTTAAGAACTCAATAGAATGTTTGTTTTTGTCTCTTTCAAAAAAAATTCTTATAACTATTTTTTGACGTTTAGTTTACTCTAGTTGCTAACAATTGCCACGTGCAGCGTCATCTCTAGGTAAAAATTCTGGTGAGAAAAATCATTTTTTCAATTTATTAAGACTTCTTCAGATAAAATAAACACAATTTTTGAATAATCTATTTCTCGCTAATGAAAATTTACTCAATTGATTTCCCAAGAAGAGCTTGTTTGTTTTTGGCAAAAAAACTTACTTGCAAATTTATCGCAATATTTCACTGCTTTTCTACTTGTCTTCTGTGAACATCTTTTAGGTTCCTTCCCACTTGGCCTGGGGATAATGCCGTTGCACCCTAAGGTTTGGGATTCAAGTCCCGACCAGATCTTGTTTTTTTTTCAGTATGAAAGCAATTGATTTTATTTTTTTACAAACTGAACTGCCGGAATTTCGTTTTGTCAGCAAAATTGCAGCACCATGGATTTTGCTTGTGTTGTAAGCACTTTCATTGTAGTTGCAAGTGCGACTGGTGTTCATTCTAGTTTCAGGTGGGCTTGAAAGATTAAGTTTTTGTTTTAAAACAATTTTTTGGTTCAACTGTTGTCTGTTCATTTTTTCCGGCTTAGTTGCCGCGTAATTATTTTTTTGTACTTTGAGCATTTTTTGTTAATTGAAGTGCAAGTGTTGTTTATTGTAGTTTCAAGTGGGACTTAAACTTTAAAAAAGTATAGAAGCTTTTTTTTTAAATTGTGTCTGTCGACGGTTGTTTCCTTGTCTTAACTTTTGCTCCGTTGCTAATTTAAAAATCAATGCTGTAACATGTTTGCATTGAACTCACTGCTATCGATTAGTATTGAAGTGGTAAATATTGTTCCATTGATAATTTAAAATCAAATGTCTGTTTAATTTAATAATACAAGACTGTCGTGTCAAACCAAAGTCCTGAATGTTCTGACTGCCCATTACTTCGCTCTGACTGCCCATTAACTAGCTTGGCCATCCAAAGATTTCGCGATCGATGCCCAAACGCCGTTAACTTTTCTAAAATCGTTCTGAATAAAAAATCAACCGGGACATTTATCTTCCTTGCTTTCCTCGAAAGTCGGAACAATAACAACTTACAAATTTAAAGCAAATAGCTTCAAATTTGACATACTTGACCTAGCTGCGAAAAAAAACGATATGAAACGATATTGATTTGGAAAGATGCTGATGCCCTGGGCTCTGAATTGAAAACAGTATCGTTCGTTTTTGATTATGTTATAGGGTTTTAAATAA